TTCAAGTCGATGTATCAAAAAGAGAGGAACAAAACTATGCCGATAAAAATTCGAAATTCTAGAAACTTTTAAAGCAGTATTATAGTTATTAAAAATTTCCTTTTTTTCATTTATTTTTGTAAATTTTGTTATTTTAATAATTATAATCTCACTAATTTACCGATGTATTTTTAAAAACGCAAATGTTTTTATGAGATAACACGGAGGAAGGTGGAAGAAAATTTAATGGAATATACCTATGAATATTTGTATTCAGTTACTCAAGTATTTTTTATTGATTATTTATTTAAAGTTTGTGTTTTGTCTTTGGTGGTTCTGAATCATCTTCAACACTTTCTTCATCGTCGGCATCGTTATCACTTACAAATAAAGAACAATCTTCTGGCAATTACTTTTATTAGACCTTGTATACCTTACTTTACGCATTGGAGCCTGAAGAATTTCGTCGCAAAGTATACAATTAATTGTCAACAATATTCAAAATAAGAGGCTGTTATCCAAACAACGTATTATATTGAAAAACGTATTGAGAAAAACTTGCATAAAGAGTCCGTCGAACAAATGTTCTTATATAGTTTATACATATATAAAATAAATAACAATAGCAGAAATATTCAAACTGTCACTAACAAGGCTCGAACATTCACTTGTGTATATCAGCTCTACCGAAATGACAGCGCGTCTCCTGCTGACCCCCCCACCACACGCCCCGACCGGTGGTGAAGACTTCATTTTCGAGCGCGAGCTCCTCTCTTCGGCGCTTGTATACTATCAGAAATATGCAACTAGTAAATTTAAACAATTGTTTACTTAAAGTTAAAGGTTTACCCCACACGTACGATTTTGTTTTATGTTGATATGTTGAACAATGGACGACTACGGCCAACAGGCGCAAAATGTTAAGTAGCTTAGGATCTAAACGATGAAAATTATTTCTTTTTTTAATTGTAGGTAATTGTGCTGGTTAATCTACCGTGATGGAATATTTTATAAATATACATATATATTTTTCCAAAAATTAAAAAAAAACCGGTGACGTATAAAACCTTACCAAAGCTGCAAAAATGAAGATAATTGAATTTTGCAAATTGCTTTTGGTGTCTGCATATTTACACTATGTGTATACCAAATTTCAAGTGTCAGCAAAACTTCAAACAAATTTGGCAAAGTTTCGAGTTTCAGATGCCGATGGATGTATAAAACCTTATAGAACAAAAAGTTTTGCTCTCCTGATTTTCGGCTTTAGCGTCATTATTGTATATATATTGAACTATAGTTTTCGAAAGTTTTATCACTTTTTGTTTATAATTGACATTTTTACAGCAACTTTAAAAAATTGACGTTTTATACCGTTTTTTCAATCTCACGGCTTTGTTATTGCAAATTTCGTAATCGGACCACCGCCATTTTGTAGCTATTTTTATTACGAACAAAATCATGTCCTAAGCATTTTTTCGTACAAAGTCATCCCGCTGAGTTATTTAAAGAAAACTACTAAAAAAAATTTTTTTCACGATTAAATTGTTAATAACTTTTTTTCCTGATAAAATACTTTGTCAGCAAATTAGCCTGTTATTGTACTCATCATTTAAAGTATTCCTGTGTAGTTATTTCCGAGTTATCAAGGAAATGTCACCAACAGTAACTTTTCGGCCTCTGCCCACTGGACTATTGATACATTAGAAGGTGGTCCGAAGCAGTTTGATCAGAGAAATTTAAAAAATACTCGAGGTGTTTCATCAAGAGATTTGTTTTTTTTTTACGTTTCCGGTCCCTTTTCCTTCAAAAGCCTACGCCACTTGCGTGGGAGGTTTGTGCTTCGACCCCAACGTTTCTGTTTCGGTACGTCCATCAACCCTTTGAAAAGTGAATAGCCGGGCTGTCTCACAGCGCGCATACCTTTCTTTCCCTTATCTTCCTTCGCGTCCTCTACAAAATAATTTTTTTTAAACGTTATCGGTCTCTATCAACATCGTATTTACCATTTTTGTCCTTGGGTGGTTTCCCCTTGTCTTTGCCTTTCTTCTTCCCACCCTCCTTGGCAGTGGTTTCTGTTCGATTCAGAATAAAGTTAGATTATCTGTGACCTGTTTGGTATTCAGTGCTGTACCTGCTTGTCCCAGTTCTTCTTTGGACGACATTTTTTTTATCGGAATGCAGCTTTACGTCGGAAATGTCATTAAAAATGACGTGTTTGCCACGGACACCTTTTTTTTCTGTGGTTTTTTTCAACATTTCTGATATCTTTATTAACAAACATGCATGCACGCCATCTATGGGTTTTGTCTGTTGAAGAATGTTTCTGTTGGGAAGGATAGATGGCGTTCTCTCCGTTCTCGGCACTTTGATCTCACTCAGCCGTTTTCTGTGTCCTTGGATGGAGAAGCGCGAAAATAGTTTAAAAAAAACATTATTCGCGATAGAATTTGAGAAGACAAACTTATAACCTGTGTTTCTAAAGGTCAAATGTAGCCTCCATATAAATATAATGTTACAGCCGATTGAAAACTTATCGTCTAGTAGGTAAATGTCGTCTCATCAGTAAATAAAATCTTATTGAGGAAATCTGGGTTTTCCGTTTGTATATTTTGTATTAACTGAGCAAATTGTAGGCGAACTGGTAAATCTTGAGGCAATAACTGCTGAATGGGAGTAAAATAACATGGAGGGACAGGATGGAGCATTTCTTTTTTCAAAATTCTACAAATGGACGTTGTCGCGCTTAACCGATGAGTACGAGTAGTAAAATTGTCTCTTCTTCATCGACTGTGACAGATTTTGGAGTACCATGGTTACTTTTTGGTCGAAAAGATCCAGATCCGCCTAAGCGATTGTAAAAATTTCTGAATAGTTTATAATTAGGTAATCTATTTGGGTACAATTGCACATATATTCGGGCTGCCGCATGTTCATTAAAATTAGCCTGAACAAAAACACTAATAATATGCATCTCGCTGTTGGAAAAATTATTCTATCATGGCATATTTTGATCACTACCTAATAATTTTGCACAAATAATAAATCAGACGCACGCAAAATACCCTGATATTTATTGACATTAAAATTTGACACAAGCCGACTTAGAATAGAAATAGCAATATCAGCGCCTGAGAGAAAATCACCACAAAATACATTGAAACTTCTAAATGCAAATAACTCAGAAACCGATAAAGTTAGGGGACCTAAACAAGTACATATTTTATGCAGAATTGAACGTTCTTCTTTTTTTATCTGTCGAGCTAAAAATATGTTCTGATTTACCTAAATAATATGGTGAAACTAGCGCCCTCTGGGAGCAACATCAAAATAAGCTACAAATGCGTAATTTTCACACCAAGAAACCCAACATTACCAAGTTTCAGAGTCATGCTATCAAAACTTTCTCAGTTATTGAGAGCAAGAAGAGCGCCAGAAGAAAGGGCGCTAGCCGGCGGGGCCCAGCCAGGACAAAAGGAGGTCCCACAAAGCGCCTACACCGGCCGCATTTGCGGTCGGGGTAGACGACGGATGGGGCCCACCTACGAAGGCTGTCCAGGCCTACACGAGATGAGGCAGGATAAAGAGGGATAATCCCCCTCGATCCCAAATCATTGAGGCCAATTTCTAGCCATAGAATAATGGCGCGCGTAACCACTTAAATGAAACCAGGCTTCATCAGAAAAAAAAGTGATATTATGAAGTTCATCATTTTAAACGCTTTTTAAAACGAAAATATTCAAATTGATAGCGGCGATATAGCGCTTTGACAGATGACGTTTAAGTTCATTTGCTATACGCTACGCCCTACGTCCAAATTTTCAGAACCAACTTGACCACGTTTTTATTTGAACGCTCGTTATTTAGTTATAATTATTACAATTATTTAAATAATTTTTGTTTTAACAAAAAAAATATTTTTTTCGGAAATTATTTTTTTGTTAAATACAGATAAAATTAAGAAAAAATAGTACTTTAAAATTATAATTTTTGAAAAAAACTAAATTGCAAACTGATAAATGGAATCTAATTGTTTAAAAATAAAAAAAAGTGTTAACTTTAAAAATTTACTGTCGCCGTCCTAATCAACGGATTTCAATTTTTCAAAAATCATTTGATAGGTTGAGCGGTCTTTTCTGTGAAAAAATTTTCAAGTATCTAGATGCTTTGTTTGAGGCTGTGCAACATTTTGAAAATTCGAAAATTTTTTGCAAAAAATTATTTTGCGAAAACTATCGAACCGATTTTAATGAAATTTGGTGTGTTGTTTAATTATACTCTAAAGTTTTTTTTACCAAAATTAGAATGCCCTTGGAGTAATTAAAATATTTTAAAAAATTATCCAAAAGAACTTGATTATTTTGCCTTTTTTTCATCAATTATTGCTATTTTGCAACATCGGTAATAAATTGAAACATTTTAACTTCCAGTATATTATGCAAAATCCAGTTCTAAAACTTTCTGTCCTCTTCAATATTCTTCCAAAATGCATAGGTTCCAAGATATAAGTAAAAAACTCAGATAAAATAGGTATTTTTCAAAAGTTCTTAAACATTTTTGCAATTTTGAAAATGTTCCGGACCTCGCCCAGATCTAGGGATCTACACTTTTATTACATGAGTTGTACAGAAGGTAAACCAGAAAAAATTTGCTTGCCCCCTCTCACATCCACCTCAAAACAAATCCGCCTTGGTTACAAGTGAGTAGCGTGATATTATGTTTGTGGGGTCTATCAGCCTCAGAATTGGTCGATGGCACAGATAACAAACGCGTGTAAATCTTTTTGCGATTGATTTTTGACCATTGGGAAGGTACGGTTCCAAATAACGGTTCCAAGGGACGGTTCCTCGGAATCGTTCCTTCCACTAAACATTGTAGAAGTTGACTTAAGTGGTAGAAACTTAAATTGAAAACTACTGAGAATAATATTTACTATTGGAATAGAGTATCTACCTTTAAATAGTGGTTGAGACCTGATCCATTTGCTAAAATTGATAATCTTTCATAGTTAAAAAAATCCTTACCTTTTCCATGGCCCCTTCTGCCCATATACCACCTTTTTAAGTAGATTTCCTTGTCGAAATTCGTGAAAGGTTAATCAGAAGGGTACACATTAATTCACAATACAATTGTAATGCTGCAAGCTCGCTTTGAATACATAAATCGACTCAGTCATTGCATGGCTGTGGTAATCGCGCTACGTATATATTCGTCTCCTATCGCCTGGCGTTCGTTTTTTTTTTTTAATAATGACTGGCACATTATCCACCATTCCCGAGTACTTCACGGGAAAAAGCGTGTTCGTGACGGGAGGCACGGGTTTCATAGGTAAGGTGCTGATAGAGAAGATCCTGAGGTCGTGCCCCGACGTTTCGAACGTCTACGTGCTCGTCAGACCCAAGAAGGGCAAGAGCGTCGAGGAGAGGATCAAGGAGATCACCGAGTTGCCGGTGGGTGTCTTTTGCCGTCGCTTTAAGGCGGAAATTCGAAAAAAAAATGTCTCGCAGTGTTGCCACCTTATTCTTAAATTGTACCTAATATACAGCGTGATTAGTTAAAGCTGCGGAGAGCGGCTACATCTCTTGACATTTTGGGTTAAAAAGTATTTAACAAATATTAATGAAAAAAGGTTATGATATGACTCGAATTCGCTATATTTGTTGATAGATTTTTTTTTCTCAAACACTAACGGCGTCCGAGTCTTACAATTAGCTGGTCCCGCTGTACAACCCTTTTTTTTTTCAGCTATTCGATCGCTTGAAGGATGCCTTTCCGGAAAACCTCAAGAAAATCGTACCCATTGTTGGAGATGTCACCGAACTCGATTTGGGTAAGTCCTAGAATAGGAACTCACCTTTGACACGAAATACGAAGTTCAAACTTATGAAATTAGATCGTTTCATTGGCTCGATGCGTCCAATTAGTGTATACATACATATTTGCATACAATTGCAAATCTATGGTCGGGAATTTTTTAAAAATTTGTTTTCGTGATGTTTTTGCTATTCACTCTCGCGATGACACTCGACTTGTTGAAGGTATTACGTTTGCTAATAATTTGCATCAGTGTGTTGGTAAATCAACTATTAAATCGAGCGTAGCTTATAGGCGAGCGGTTCACCTCTAAAAACATGCTTCTAAATGAAAGTAACCGACTAAATTTTTAAAACAAAAACCTACAGCATAAAACTTTTTTTATTTTATAAAGTGTATTTTTCTGATAATTTACATATTTTTTTTATATTTTTCGTGGTCAGTCAATAGGCCCATTCAGTTGAATTTTTTTTTTGCATATTCCAAAAGTTTACCCTTTCATTAGTTAGTATGCCAAAAATCAATTTTTTGTTTCAACGAGAAATGTGTGAAATAAATTAATGGAAACAGAGCGCGGAAAAACGTTGAGCAACCATTGCTGACGTCATAATACCGGTACGGGCGACTGGAAGAGAACTCCGCTAACAAAAATGACAGGGATTGGAAAATCTACTATCTACAGACTTTTAAAGGAAACAAAAAATGAACAAGATACTGTAAATCCCCCAAAATCATCTACGGGGAGGTCAAAAGTCGTTATAGATGATTTCTTCAAAAATGTCATTCGTAGAAAAGTACACTCATTTTATTTTAAAAAAGAAATACCAACGCTAAACAAAATTTTAAGTGAACTTTCAGAGGACAACGATTTGCCAAAAATCAGTAGAAGCAAATTATGGGCCGTCTTACGAGAGTTGAATTTTTGCTGGGAAAAGCAGAACAGGAAGTCAGTTCTTATCGATAAAGATGAAATTATTTGTTGGCGAAGATCCTACTTAAGATCAATTAGAAAATTCCGTGACGAAGGGAGGAATATTTATTATCTAGACGAAACTTGGGTCAACGAGGGATATACTGTAACAAAAGTATGGCAAGATAAAAATGTAAAAAGTTTTCGACAAGCATTTTTGGATGGACTTTCAACAGGGTTCAAGGCACCTTCAGGTAAAGGGCGAAGATTAATAGTGACACATATAGGTAGTGCCAGTGGTTTTGTAGATGGCGGTTTACTTTTATTTGAATCTAAAAATACAGGTGACTATCACGAAGACATGAACGCAGATGTTTTCGAAGAGTATTTTACACAGATGTTGGATCTTATTCCTCCGGGGTCTGTAATTGTCATGGATAATGCCAGTTACCATTCACGGCAGACCGAGCGGACGCCTACGACTGCTTGGAGGAAAGCCGATATAATTCAATGGTTATCCGGAAAAAACATTTCTTTTGAAACAAATATGGTGAAAAAGGAACTTTTGACACTTGTCAATCTTAATAAAGATCAGAAAAAATATGTTATCGATGAAATGGCAACAAATCGCCAAATAACGGTACTACGGTTACCACCTTATCACTGTGAACTTAACCCAATCGAATTAGTCTGGGCGCAGGTAAAAGGAGATGTAGCGCGAAATAATACGACGTTTAAATTAAGTGACGTGAAAATTTTGTTAAAAAATTCCTTGGAACGAGTAACTGCAGATAACTGGCAAAGATGTATACATCATGTACAAAAAGAAGAGGAGAAAATGTGGGAACTCGATAATTTAATTGACGTTACTGTGGAACCTATCGTTATCAATCTAGGAGACGAAGATAATTCATCAGAATATTCAGAGGATGAATTTTAATATACCTACTTTTTTATTTTCTTTATTGTACATTTATACAACACTACATTTACTCACCATAATTTGAATTTTCAAAATACATATATTTTTGTGTGGAATAAAAGTCTATTCATTAAATTTAAATAAATATTTTGATAATAATATTGAATAATTTTATTTGAATTACTAAAAACCCTCTTAACCCGGTTATGATGCTTAAAGTAGCCTCATGTTTTGAAATGCTGTTTTTATATTGTTTACTTATAAGAGAAATGGACCGAGAAATTGAAGCGGCATAGACAAAGACGGATTGTCGGGGATTAAATTTTAGCTACCTGCTACAATTTAGTACAGTCCGATCGCACAAAGTTTTGTTAAAAGTACACCTCATTCTATACCGATAATACATAATATAAAAATATTGAATATAAGCACCAGTACTACATTTATTTACGATTTGCATACATAATAAGCCTTTATTACTCTCTTTCATTGCTAAACAGACTATAGTCAAAGTACTACTGGCACATACCGACGCCGGTATCGTGACGTCATTACCTGTTCTCCCGCAGTGTTGACATTTTTAAGGGTCTTACAAATTCAGAATTAAATATATCACTTATTATTAATACTATTAACCTAATTTTTGAAAGATATAATTAGGTGGTTAAATACTATCAGAAAATTAAAGAAAAAGTTTAAAATTATATATCACTGAATGGGCCTATTGTTATAAACAAAAAAGTTGTAAAAAAAATTACTCGCCGAAATAGTGGTATATTGTAAAATGGACCAAAATAAACACTCTTTGTTCTTTGACAAAAATTTGAATAATGCTTCGTTTCCGAGATATTTACAATTTAATGTGAAAAAAGTGACGAAATCGACAAACTTTTGGAATTTTTTCCTCAAAAACTGCTGAACAGAGTTTAATTCTAAAAAAAGCATAAGAATCGGCAGATCTTCTACTTTAACATATATTTTTTTGGTATAGTTCAATTATTTTATTCGAGGTCTAAAGCGAATAAAAAGAAACAGTCTACAAATAGTGAAATTGTAACTCTAGATCCATTGAGACACATGGATGGAAAATCGAAAATGATTGTTTGGATTTTAATTATTTTGAAGGAGGAACTGCGTTAAATATGCTTCAAAAATATTTTTATAATTTAAAATAACTTTTTTATTTTTCGAGACCGCTTGGTCAATTATTATTATTATTAGGTTAATTTTTCGATTTAGCTTATTTAGTTTAGTTTCGGTATATCGTCAAGTCAATTTTAGCCATTTATAAAACCAAAAATCGAATATTTAAATTTTACTAATTACTTGCAAAAACCTCACTACGGCTACAAAACCAAACAATGATCTTTTGAACATTTGTACTGTTAACATATATCGATTTAAAAAATCATAATAATGTTTATTGTAAACATAATCTAATCCAAGATATTGTAAAAAGAAAATTTAAATTTGAAGTGTTATCATAATTTTCTTTAAAAGACTTTTTTTTTCTCGCTTTAGACCTTCAATAAAATGATTGACTCATACCAAAAAAATATATCTTAAAGTAGAAAATCTGCCAATTATTATGCTTTTTTAGAATTAAAATCTGTTCAGTAGTTTTTGAGAAAAAAATTCCGAAAGTTTGTCGATTTCCTCACTTTTTTCACATTAAATTATTTTTGTCCATTTTACAATGTTTTCAATGCCATTAGGCGAGTAATTTTTTTTTTTACAACTTTTTTGTTTGTAGTATTTAACTGACCACGCCGAAAAATATAAAAAAATATGTAAATTATCAGAAAAATACACTTTATAAAATAAAAGTTTCATGCTGTAGGTTTTTGTTTTAAACATTTAGAAGGTTCATGCCTTTTTTTAGGGGTGAACCGCTCGCCTATTATGAATACATTTTTCTGCCAAAACACTCGAAATTGTTCACTGGGTTCAAGGGTTGCTGCGAATCTGTCATAGATAAAGCAAATCCGATGAACGAGTCCAGAGTTCTTTTTCGGCAAAATAACAATGGTGCAAATCGCATCTCTTTATCTGTTACCGCTTTAGAGCTAAACCGACTGGTTTCCCTTTCAATATATCTTAAAACGGTTTGATTCTACATACACATTTTTGAAATACATTCGATGGCATAAAAATTAATGTGATTATATTTTTAGTTTTTGCGATATGACCTCAAATTGTGTTTTTTTATATGGAAGATCCTGTATTTTATTTAAAAAAAAAACGGAAAGATGGCTAAAACTGCATTCGAAAAATATATAAGTACTTTATTATTATTTTTTTACACAAAAAATTTTTGTGTAGATTTGCGTAAAATATAAAATTTTCAAAATATCAACAATATTTCGGTTTTTTTTTTATTGAGAAGGCTTTGAAAACGAACAAGTTTGACGTTTAACATTATTGGAAGCGTGTTAACACTAATCAAAAATGATTCTTAACTCAAATGAAGTCAAATACAATTTAGTGAAATGTTTTAATCTATGAAATGAAACGTCAAATTAATTTATAGTAATTGTCAAAAGTATTCTTCCTTCTAATCCAATCAATAGGTAGAGTAGAAGAGCTTATAAAAAATACCACCCGGAAACAAAAAATATCGTGATATAGGAAAAAAATTCTAAGAAAGGTAGTGTTTCCTTCCTGTGACGCATAAACAACGAAGTTGACCTAAAAAATTCATAAAAGTCAAAAAACGGGTTTATTCATTTGAAGTGTCCAAAGATGACCAAAAATACGTTTTTTTTAATTCGAGTAAATATGCCAGCAATTAATTCCTGTAATAGACATTATCGAGAATTGAAAATCGAAAAAGATATTCAAGAAAAACGCGGCAAAAAAATTTTTACTTTTTTCAAAGTCATTTTTGGACACTTGAAATGAATAAAATCGTTATCACTCTTTTTTACCATGAAGGTACAACTCTTAAGGAAAAAAATGAGCCCTGATTGGTTTCTCTACGACTATTCGTCGAGCAAGAAGAGCCGATTTTCGAGATGACCTTTGACTCGAAAAATCGATATAACTCGAAAAATTTTTAATATTTTTTAATTTTAAAAATGGCTATGGCTACTTTTTTTGTTTGCTAAGGGCTACATTTACAGCAAGTAACAAGTTTCAAAACCGTAATTTGCAAGAGATACAGCAGAAACAAAAAAAGTCGAATTTTGATGGTTTTTTCGATATATCTCGAAAAGTAATATGGCGATCAATATATTTAAAAGTATGAATCGATAGGTTTTTTTGATAGCTACAACTTTCTCATTTAACTTTTTTCGATTGGAGTTCAAGTTTTTTTTTATAAGTGAAAAACCGTTTTTTTTTTTACTTTTATTAATTTTTTAGGTTAACTTTTTTCATAGAATTTTTTTCCTATATCACGATATTTTTTGTTTCCGGGTGGTATTTTTGGTAAATTTAACATTAGGTCGTGACAGATTGATTGGACTATTCGTCACATTTCGTCTACCCATAATAAAAAATAACCATTCCCAGGCATCAGCCCCGAAGACAGATCCACCCTGATCAACGAGGTGAGCTTCGTCTACCACATAGCGGCCTCCGTTCGCTTCGACGACTCCCTTAGGGACGCCGTCATCATGAACGCGAGGGGCACCAGAGAGGTGGTCCTCCTGGCCAAGCAGATGCGTCGCCTCGAGGTCCTGGTACACTTCTCCACCACCTACTGTCACACCGACAAGAGGGTGGTCGAGGAGAAGATCTACCCTCCCACCGTGGACTGGAGGACCGCCATCGAGCTGGCGGAGAAGGCGGACCCCCACGTCCTGGACGTCTTCACCGCCAAGTACACCGAGCCCTTCCCCAACACGTACACCTTCACCAAGGGCCTGGCCGAGCACGTGGTGAACGACCTATGCGACGGGGTGGTGCCCGCCGTTATCATCAGGCCGTCGATAGGTTAGTTTGAATTTTGATTTTGTAATTAAATTGTGGCTAAAGTTAATCTTCTACAAATGTGTCTGTTTTGACGTCTTGGGATAAATTAGTCGCAAAAATTAAAGGATAAAAAAATCACAAATTTTTAGATTATTTTCAATAAAAAAAAGCAAATTGTAATTTGAAGTTTCTAGTTTCGTGATCTGAGGATCAAAATTGTTTAACTTTGGCCAAATTTAAAAATTTGTAAGAAATCTACTGGAAAATAATTTTTCAAAAAATCCACAGGCTTCAATTAATTTTTTTGGCAATGCTGCCAGCTATTTCGGCATTACTATTTTTGTCTTTTCCGTCTTCCTTAATAGTTAAGTCGGTATTTGTTTTAAAAGTAGGTTATGTGTATGTTTCATATAGTAATAGACCAGTAAGCCTTCAAAAATGGTAAAAAGAAAAAAAAAATATAGTAGGATGAAACCCATTGGAAAAGGAAGAGAATATAACAGAAATGAAAAGAAAAATAATTTACGGACCATCTGAGGTCGGGAAGGGGAAGGGGGTGAGTTTTTAAGGGTAAAAAACGGTTTATCTTGATTTCCGGAAAAACTACAAGTCTTGTGGAAAAAAGTTAAATAGCAAAGTTGTAGGTAATAAAAAGATCTACAACTTTTGTATTTACACTTTTTTCACATAACCTCAAAATTTATGTGAAAAATTCAAATAACCAAGTTTTTGGTTTTTTATTTTTATCTTTTACAAACAAATTTTTTTTTCACGAAATTTGGTGAAAACTTACCTATTTATGTCCCAAACACGCTGTAATTTTTTTGATTTGAAATATTTATTTTTTCACCTTATTTTTACTTAATATCGAAAAAGCACCCTAATTTTCAATCGAAAATTCTCACGTCAAAATATCTGCTTTTTTAAAAACGTCGGTGGGCTTTTTCTTCGTTGAAATCTCTACTTTCTGATGGTGTAAAAAAATATATACATTACTATGGTAAGTTTTCTCAGGAAATGCAAAGAAACGAACTAGAATCCGAAAATTTTTTTCTAATCATTATGTACAATTTTGAGCTATTTATTAAAATTTACACTTTAATTACTCGAAAAACGTAAGATTCCATGTTACATTGATAAACAAAAAAATTACAAGTCGAAATATACTATTATAATTAACAACCAAATAAGTTAATAAAGTTAATATTTAATAAGACATCTACAATATTTTGAGAAAGTTGTAGAATCTTCTTTCGTTTCTTTGCATTTCCTGAGAAAACTTACCATAGTAATGTATATTTTTTTTTACACCATCAGAAAGTAGAGATTTCAACGAAGAAAAAGCCCACCGACGTTTTTAAAAAAGCAGATATTTTGACGTGAGAATTTTCGATTGAAAATTAGGGTGCTTTTTCGATATTAAGTAAAAATAAGGTGAAAAAATAAATATTTCAAATCAAAAAAATTACAGCATGTTTGGGACATACAACATTTTGTAAGAGGCAAAAAATCTTCTAAAATAGTGCTTGTTTTTAAAAATATAATTCTTGTCATTGGTGGACACACAAAAAAGTTACGGGATAGCCAGTGGTGCACAGACACTAGAAAGAGAACATCCTGTATATGTATTATCACCAAATTCTATATTTACATTACCCGTATATAAAAAAATATGTATACCAAATTTGAAGTTTCTAAGAAAAATAGTTTTCAAATTATTTGAAAAAAACTAGGTTATCTGTTCTATATTATTATTTATCTCAGTAGGCGTGCACTTTTGTATATTATAGGTAAGTTAGGCTAAATACTCTTACTTTCATCAAAGGAACCTGTGGCCAAGCGTTGTCCATCCTTTTCAGGGACACCCTGTATAACTCGGAGAATGTTGACTTTAAAGAAAATAGTCAAAGGAAAAAAAGTTTCGTTTTGAGATTCTCTTCAAAATAAAAGTGGCACGAATTTTTATGTGCATTATTATTGCTGCGATATAGTATAGACCGAAAGAAAATTCGTGAAAAAAGATCGTTTTTTCATGAATTTATTTCGGACCTTGACTTTAAAGCAGCCATATTGAAAGTATGGTTCTGAGTACTTCATGATATGGTAGTATTGCAGAAAATATTTCATCGAAATCGGCCGGGTAGATTTCGCATAATTGAATTGTAAACAAAGAGAATACACAATTATACTTATTTTTCAATTCTCTCTCACGGTAAAACCAATGATTATTTTGAGCTCCCAATTTTTATACATACCCTTTGGAGTCTCAACCATCAATCCCCATTTAAAATTAGAATTTTTTTATTAACAATTAGAATTTTTTTATAATTTCTTCGATGAAATACTTATAAACATTTAGAGCTGGAGCTACCGTATATGCGTATTCCTCAAATGTAATTATAGGATCAAATAGAGGAAGAATTGACGAACAAAATCCATCTTGTGGATACGATGAATCGTCATCGAAATATGAAAGCTCAAAGTTGAAATGAGTTTACGGCAATACAACGTACTGTACAATAACAATTAAAAGCGATTTTGATTGTTTGAAGCAAAGACTATAAACTATAAATATTCAAATTTGTTTAAATCGGAAATATATTTTAACTGTTCTTAACTTCAATCGACTTTTTCTCAGCTTCTATAACAGATAAAAAGATGATTTTTTTTTTAATCGATAGAGGAAAGCAAGATCTATAATTTTACATTGTCGATTCAAAAAATCTTTCAATTTAAATTTATATGCAAAATAAAGAACAATAATGTAGATAATATACGGTATAATGTATAGAAAATACAGCTACGAAAACTTTTATTAACATTTCACAAAAATGAAAATAGACTGGTCAAAATAAAAGGAAATTTACTAGTGATGGAAAGTAGAACAATATAATAGCATTTTCTCGATTAAATAAAATCTTTTGTTAATGCCCAGTTATAATTTAATCATACAGTGCATATCAAAAATTTCATACAAATAAAAAAAAATATGGATACATTGGTGTGTTGCCGCTTATTATTTTATTCTAAACATTCTACTAATTACTTGAAGTAATATGTCATTATTAATAGTATGATAAGTGGCTTCCTAGCTAGCATCATATTTAAACCAGAGATTAGGGATAGGAAATATCGGAAGCGTTCCAACTCCTTCTAAAGTGGCGCCACTCTGTAGTTTCAGTTGTATTCGCATTTATCTACATTCTGTCGATAAAAATGAAAAGATGGTATTCTTCAGAAAATGGCTGTCAGCAGTCGCCGTTGGTTTTTATAGTCCTTCCTCATTTTCCCTTACCTTTTCTATTATTTAACAATGTGAAATTAAAAGTAAAACATATTATTATATACAGGGTGTCCCAAGAATACCCGAATAACTTTCACAATTGAGTCCTATCAAAAAAAAGTCGAATAAAAATTGTATAAGAATTGTAAGAAACCAACCAATAAATTATCAAACACAAGTAGTCTAACTCGAACAATAATAAATAAATAATGATAAATGAAATACACAAAAATTAGTAAATAATTTGTTTAATCGCCTAATTTTTACGGCGTATGATATACTTGAAATCTTGTGGTTAAACTTCGAATGGCGTTTTAAATTTCTGGTTCTAAGTTTCTCACTCTCTGAGTTTGTTCCTCTCCTGTTTCTGTTGTTCCTGTCCAACAATAGATAGGTCTTTCAAAGCTTTCATAACCTTCTTATTCAGTACTTGAAACAGCATCGTTTTCTCCTGACAAAAAGTAGGCTCTAACCATTATCAATTCTTCCTTCGTTCCTACACATGATTTTTCATGTCACACAAAAACTTGAAAGCGAAAACACAAAAGTACACTTTACCGTCACTAAACACTGAAATAATTGACTTTATAGGGTTATACATTTATACTACACAAAGACACTTCACAAACTAAAATAAAAATACCTCGTCATATTATACCAGGTGTTACGATAACTGGTATTAGCTACTTTTCAGAGGCGACAGTTTATCCCCCGTTGCGCTTCGTAAGCCTTCCGAACAGGATCGGATTCTGCTTAAATTTGAACTGTTCACGGTTTAATTTTGTCCCCGTTTTGTTTACTGTGGATTAATTTAATATTTAATAATATTTCATATCAATTAACATTTGTATTTACTTTTTTATTATCTCGTCTTTTAAAAGTGATCAGCACCATGCTGGACCCGGTGCCGGGGTGGATCGACAACTTCAACGGCCCCGTGGGCATCCTGGTGGCCTCGGGGAAGGGCATCATGAGATCCGTATACGCGAACCCCCAGATCACTTCCGATTACGTCCCTTGCGACATCCTCGTCAAGGGCACCATCCTCGCGACCTGGAAGAGGGGTCTGGAAAGGTAGGCCTACACTTCTTGGTTTATTGATTTTTTGCTACACCCTGTATATACGTATCCCCGTTAAAAAAAATTAAATGAAGATTATCGTCGTGTGATGGAGGATAACAGTAATGGTGTGAAATGCCGCTAACTAACGTAAATGTCATTGTATAGCAGTATTTCACCGGCTAATTTTTTTTAAAGATTCCAAGTACGGAATACGTTAACCCTTGGTGACTCTGTCTGCTTCCGGTTTCGATTCGGAATTATCGAATTTTTTTTTTCAACGTTTTTGATGAGGAATAAGCATTTTTATGTGGAAAATGTAAATATGCATTGTTCCTGGACTGTTTTAGAATATAATCTGCATTTATTTTAATAACTACTTACCATTTTACGAAATATTACGCCGACTTTGGAGGCACTTGTTGTTATTGATCACGCTTTCGACTTGGCAACGTAGAATGTGTATTATACAGGGTGTAATGAAAAATCTTTTATGCTACTATCCTAATAAGTAGTAGCGTTGGAAGGATAAATATTTTTTATTTGCCAAATTTCGAATTCTATCACGAAAGGTCGAGTTTGAACAGGAAATATCGAGTTTGAACTCATATTTTCGAATTAGAACTCGAAATTTGGTAAGAAAAAAAAAACAATAAATAAATTGTAGAAAAAATTAGTTTTAACCTTAAATGATGTGCCATATGTATTTTTTTTTGGTTACTAAATTTGGGATACAAAAGTACTCACATTCGAAATTGCGAGTTTAAATTCAAAGCTGTGAGTTAAAATTTCGAGTTATTTGTTTAGTTATTATGTTATTTCGAATTTGAACGCGAAGTTTCGATTATAATCTCTAAATTTTAATGAATTCGAAATTTCAAGTTCAAACGTAAAATTTCTAGTTCAACTCGAGATTTCCAATTTCAATTAAAAATTTCTTTTTCGAATGCGAAATATCAAAGTTCGAGTTGTAAATTGAAATGCGAGTTATTTTTTTACTTGTTTGCCAAGCCTGAAGTTTAAAATCTTAACGCGAAATTTCGAATTAGAACTCGAAATTTCGTGTTCGAACAAAATTTCGAATACAATCTCGCAATTTCGAATTTGAACTTGGAATTTTTTACTGGAGTTCAAAATTTTCAATTTCAATTCGAAATTTATTTTCTTGTTTATCAAGCTTGAAATTTCGACCTTGAACGCAAAATTTCGAATATGAAAGTAACTTCGAATGTGAATTTTTTTTTGTTTTTCAAGCTTGTAGTTTCTAATTTGCAAGTTCAAACTCGAGACTTCAAATTGAACTCAAAATTTTTTGTTTTTCGAGTTTTTTTCTGGTTTACTCGGTTTAAAATTTCGAATTTGAACGCTACTCAAAATTTTGTATTCAAACAAGAAAATCGAGTGTGTATTCGAAATTTTGAATACGTACTCGACTTCGAATTTTGAACTCATAATTTCATATTTGAGTACAAAATTTTAAGTTTAAATACTAGGTTTCGTTTTATTTGTCTTTTTGTTTACCAAACTTAAAATTTCGAATTAAACTCGGAACTTCGAATATGAACTCGACTTCGAATGTGAACTCAAAATTCGAGATATAATTTCTCTCATGGTATTATTTTAACTTGAAATTTCGATTTTGAAAGCGAAAGAAGATTACGAAATCGAAATTTTGCACTCGAAAATAAAATTTTGAGTTCAAACTTGATATTTCGAATTCGAACTCAAAATTTCGAGTTTGAACTTAAAATTTCGAATTAGAACGTACAACTTCGACTCAACTTGTTTACCAAGCTTGAAATTTCGAATATGAAATCGAAATATCGAATATAATCTCGACCTCGAATTCGAACTGAAAATTTCGAGTTTGAACTTAAAAATTCCGAATTAGAAAAAAAAATTAAAAATTTCGAATATTAACTCGAAATATCGAATATAATCTCGATTTCGAATTCGAACTCATTGTTATCGAAGAATTTCATTGAAATACGAAATTTTGAGTTTGAATGGGAATTTCGAATTTGACCTTAAAATTTCGAAATAGAACTTGAAATTTCGAGTTCAAATTTGAAAATTCGATTGCGAAATTTCGAATTTGAAATTTTGAGTTTAAACAATCTCTTTTAAATTTCTTTTCAATTTTAATTAATTATTATTTGTAATTGTGTCCTAAAACTGAAATGACTGTACCTAATTTCGACGGTGGATTTTTTTTGGAGTAATCGACATGTGCGATGTAATTTTGTTATTAGTCCCGACGAGAAGTACAAGTTGAAGGTGTACAACGGCAGCACCAACAAGATAAGGCCCGTCACCATAGGCGAGATCGTCTTCATGGGCAAGAAACTGTGCTGGGAGACCCCGCTCAACGACGTGGTGTGGTACCCCAACGGCTCGATCACCAACTGCTGGTACTACAACTATTTGCGCGTCCTCTTCTACCAGCTGCTGCCGGCTCTGTTCCTGGACTGCCTGCTGGTGCTGCTGAAGAAGAAACCCATGTAAGTACCCGCCGGGGTTGGTACCATAACGTCATAGTCAGGTCCGCCAGTTAATCGTACATTCCAGTGTCGTAACGCATTTGGTTTTCGCGCAATGTTATGAAAAAATATATACGAGGAACATGATTTTAAGATAACAACGACAGTCAGTGGTACCAACCTTAGTACCTGTTGGTCGTTTCGTGGCTATGGCGACTATAAAAAAAAACGTGTACAGGCTGATCAAGATCCATAGGAAGATCTTCATAGCCAACAACGCGGTGCAGTATTTCCTGAGGGACGAGTGGACGTTCGACAACAAGCAGACCGTGGCCCTGGAGGGGTCGCTGCTTCCGGAGGACGTGGAGGCGTTTTCGTACCAGACGGACCACCCCCTGAGCGAGCCCTACGCTTTCTTCACGATGGGGCTGATGGGCGCCAGGAGGTACCTGCTGAAGGAGCCCGACGAGACGTTGGCCCAGGCCAAGGTGCACTCCCGAAGGTTAGTGATTTATCGTTGGTGATTTTATTTGTTTGTATTACGATTTGTTATAAATAATAAGCGGTTCGAATTCGAAGAAAATCGCTTAATTTACATATTATTTTTAAATTCATGTTCAGAACGTATGGATGTGCAAAAAAAATTTCCTTCAGCCGTCTCTCCCTCAAAATAATTGAAACGCAGCACGGGAATACGCTCGGAAGATATGTTGTGACGTCATACCACTCGTTAGCGGCTAGCCCACGAGGCTGGGTCCAACGTACGTCATATATCTTTAAATATCTTGAGACAATAGCGCATAATGCTGTCGAGTCGAGCCGGTCGAGTGGTGTGACGTCACAAATGCTCTGCGAACGTTTCTAATATCACGATTTTTTCACAATATATTTAGGTGGGTGAAAAAAAAGAAAAGTTATGGCTAAATTTAATTTAAAACAAACTTTGAGGCAGTACAACTTCTTTAATTTTTGACAAGGCCTTGTGGGAAGTTGTGCCATTATTTTCATGAGCAGAAACCACTTAAATTTTCTGATCATAGCTTCGCGACTTCTAACTGGCTAACTCGTGGTGGCAGTGGTGGTAGTGGTGGTGGCATTGGGGGTGGCGAAGTTTTTCTTTCTTCATGTCAGATACGTGTTTTTTTTTAGGATGTGGTTGATTGCCCAGACATTCAACGCGATGTGGTACATCACCGCATTCTTTTTACTTCGCAAACTGGTCTACTCGTTGAACATCCTGTCCAGGATCAACGACGCGTACCTTTATTTTAACTCCTAGTATATCGCACTTACATATTTTTTTTATCTTAGGTAGTTAATCCATTTTTTTTAATGATGATTGTGTTTACTTTAGTCTTATAAAACAAATTTCTTTAATAAAAGATAGGTTTTATTTCATTCACCAATACCTCTTAACATATTTAAATATTATTATCCTCTTCTCCAAATAAGCCTTATGTTACGCCACTGGTGAGCGTGTTGATAAACGTCGGGCTCTTGTAGCGACGGTTGCCAAATGTAGGGATAAAATAACAAGTAGTTTGGAAGAGGACGGCAGCATTCGTCGTTCTCCTCGGGGGTTCTACGAGTAATTATTAATTTTCCCTTTATTAGATCCATGGGCGTGCGCGAGAAGCGTTACCGAGTTTGGATTTTATTCGTTATTGCCTGTTAAGAAGTCTCTTAGCTGTATTTTTCTTACTTCATGCTCATAAAATTATCAATTATTTAGCAGAAGACATTATATGTACATATCTTGTACAGGGTGATAATCAGCTAATAAAAAAACAAATGAAAGTCAAAAATCTTTTTAGATTGTCCCTAAGTTAGAAAGATTGAAAATCCTAAGCCTGCTGCGTTTTTTTTAAACACCAAGTTTAAAAAAATTGTAAGTATGTATTCGCAATTTTTTTTTTAATCGATGCAAATTCGAAAATGTAACAATCTTGGTATTTTCCTTTATTTCAATTATTAATTTATTTTTTACTCATTTCATTTTTTGGGACATATTTTAGGATATCAAGAAAAATATTATTGAACGTTGGTTTTCGGAAATATAAAAAAAAATTCATGTGAAGAAGAGCGAGATATTTTTTAACCTTCTAATCGATATTTCGAGTACGTTCCTCAAATTTCTCGTTCAGACTTAAATTTCGAGTTCAAACTCGGGATTCAAGTCGAAATTTCGAATTTGAAATCAAAATTTCGAATACAAACTCGAGATTTCGAATTCGTACTCAAAATTTCTTACTGGAAAACAAAATTTTGACCTTTAATCAGAAATTTAATTTTTTCTTCACGTTTATCGAGCTTGAAATAACAAATTTGAACAGAATTTCGAATATGAACTCGAAATTTCGAATGAGTTCGATTTCTAATTTTGAACTCAAAATTTCTTGTTTGAATACGAGATTTTGAGTTTGAACGCGAAATTTCAAGTTGGAATATAAAATTTCTACTTTTTTTATTTTCAAGTTTCAAATTTAAAGTTTGCATGCGAAATTCCGAAATTGAACTCAAAATTTCGAATGCAAACTCGAGATTTCGTATTCGCACTCAAAATTTCTTACTGAAAAACAAAATTTTGAGTTTTAAGAGGATGTCAATTTTTTTTTTCATGTTCATAAACTTAAAATTACGAATTTGAACAGGATTTCGAATATAAACTCGAAATTTCTAATATGAATTTGACTTGAACTCAAAATTTCTTACTGGAAAACAAAACTTTGAGTTTTAATTGGAAGGCGAATTTTGTTCATGTTCATCAAGCTTGAAATTACGAATTTGAACAGAATTTCGAATATGAATTCGACTTGAACTCAAAATTTCTTGTTTGAATACGACATTTTGAGTGAATGAGAAATCTCGTATGTAAACTTGAAATTTCAAGTTAGAACATCAAATTTCTAGGTTTTTTTATTTACCAAGTTTCAAATTTAAAGTTTGCAAGCGAAATTCCGAAATTGAACTCAAAATTTCAAATACAAATTCGTGATTTCGAATTTGCAAAAATTTTGAACTTTAATAGGAAGTCGAATTTTTTTTCATGTTTATCAAGCTTGAAATTACAAACTTGAACAAAATTTCGAGTATAAATTCGAAATTTCTAATATTAATTCTACTTCGAATTTTGAACTCAAAATGTCTTGTTTGAATACGAGATTTTCAATTTGAATGCGAAATTTTGTATTTTAACAAGTTAGAACATCAAATTCCTAGGTTTTTTTATTTTCGAATATGAACACGAAATTTCGAATGAGTTCGATTTCTAATTTTGAACTCAAAATTTCTTGTTTGAATACGAGATTTTGAGTTTGAATGCGAAATTTCAAGTTGGAATATAAAATTTCTACTTTTTTTTATCAAGTTTCAAATTTATTGTTTGCAAACGGAATTCCGAAATTAAAACCAAAATTTCAATAGAAACTCGAGATTTCGAATTCGCTCTCAAAATTTCTTGCTGGAAAACAAAATTTTGAGTTTTAATAGGTAGTCGAAATTTTTTTTGATGTTTATCAAGCTTGAAATTACGAACTTGAACAAAATTTCGAATATAAACTCGAAATTTCGAATATGAATTCGACTTGAACTCAAAATTTCTTGTTTGAATACGAGATTTTGAGTTTGAATGCGAAATTTCAAGTTGGAATATAAAATTTCTACTTTTTTTTATCAAGTTTCAAATTTATTGTTTGCAAACGAAATTCCGAAATTAAAACCAAAATTTCAATAGAAACTCGAGATTTCGAATTCGCTCTCAAAATTTCTTGCTGGAAAACAAAATTTTGAGTTTTAATAGGTAGTCGAAATTTTTTTTGATGTTTATCAAGCTTGAAATTACGAACTTGAACAAAATTTCGAATATAAACTCGAAATTTCGGATATGAATTCGACTTGAACTCAAAATTCCTTGTTTGAATACGAGATTTTGAGTTTGAATGCGAAATTTCAAGTTAAAACATCAAACTTCTAGTTTGTTTTTATTTACCAAGTTTCGAATGTAAAGTTTACAAGCGAAATTCCGAAATTGAACTCAAAATTTCGAATACAAACTCGAGATTTCGAATTCGCAAACAAAATTTTGAGCTTTAAGAGGAAGTCGATTTTTTTTTCATGTTTATCAAGCTTGAAATTACGAACTTGAACAAATTTTCGAATATCAATTCGAAATTTTTATGAATTTTTGAATACGAGATTTTGAGTTTGAATGCGAAATTTCGTATTTATTCTGGAAATTTCAAGTCAGAACGTCAAATTCCTAGGTTTTTTTATTTACCAAGTTTCAAATTTATAGTTTGCAAGCGAAATTCCGAAATTGAAACCAAAATTTTGAGTTTTAATAGACAGTCGAATTTTCGTTTTTGATGTTTATCAAGCTTGAAATTACGAACTTGAACAAACTTTCGAATATAAATTCGAAATTTCGAATATGACTTCGACTTGAACTCAAAATTTCTTGTTTGAATGCGAGATTTTGAGTTTGAATGCGAAATTTCGTATTTTAACTTGAAACTTCAAGTCAGAACATCAAATTCCTTGGTTTTTTTATTTACCAAGTTTCAAATTTATTGTTTGCAAACGAAATTCCGAAATTAAACCCAAAATTTCGTATAAAAACTCGAGATTTCGAATTCGCTCTCTAAAAATTTCTTACAGGAAAACAAAATTTTGAGTTTTAATAGGAAGTCGATTTTTTTTTCATGTTTATCAAGCTTGAAATTACGAATTTGAACAGAATTTCCTATTTTAACTTGAAGTTTCAAGTTGGAATATAAAATTTCTAGTTTTTTATTTATTTACCAAGGTTCAAGTTTAAATTTTGCAAGCGAACTTAATCTGCTTTTAATTTATTCTGGTATTAGCCCATATACCTACAAATCTCGACGCCCTGTATATTACAAATACAATTTCATTGCATCGATTCGAATGATCCCCGCGCGTACCTATAGGGCACCACCCACCCACGCCGCTGGTTTCCTTCGCCCCCTCCGCCCAGCAGGCCGTGCTCAGGCTTGCCGCGAGCGCTGCCAACTTCAGCGCGTCATTTGTCACTAGCGGCTGTGGCTGTGTGTGTGTGTTTGTACTCCGTACGGTGCGACTGGCTGGCTGTCAACCTTTTGTGTGTAAATATTAATGGACTGACCGAAATCCGTGTTAATTTCGCGTTTCCGCGACGTCAACTTACGTCCGAGGTGTGTTCCTATAGTCGGGCTATCGCGAAAAATGTGAGTGCGAGAGTTTTTTTCTCACGAATGCTTGGGAACCGGTACGGAGCGTGAACTTTTGCCCCGAAGACCCGACTTATGCGTCCGGAAGGCGGTTTCTAGTGCCGGGGATCCTTTCCGAGGCTGGATTTGGCCGGGAGATGTCCGCGAACTAGTCGGCCGATGGGTCGTTCGCCCCGTTCTCAGCAGCGATTTTGTTTTGATTTTTGTGGATGCAACTATGAATAGGCCCCTTTGTATCGCCGTTTTGATAGCTCTACGCTCGCTGGGTAAGTAGTTTATGAACAGTTTCTTGTGTTGTTGGGACACTAGTTTGTGTATTTCCATCTGAGAGAGTGCTGTGACACCGAATGCAACAATTAAAGAACGCCTTCTACATCGCATACTTCGCGAGTGCAGTCACTGGTTTAATCGAATTGTCCTTCGTTTAAAACTCGTTTATTACTAATTATATTGATTGATTACATTAGGATGTCTGTCAGACGTAATTTTTAATCTAATTTCCACGAGTGTGCAACAAATAAATGCAGTTGTGACCTCGTAAAAATTACTTAGTGCAGGAACGTGGGTATCTTATCTCCATGTAAATTTGTAAATATTTGCACTTTGCTTATCAAGGCATCTACCTAAAATTTTATATTTACGTGACGTTGCAGTTTGTGATAATGATATCTCTATCACTTCCAACGAAATTTTGATAGTTTTGTTAGATTCTCATTGACGAAAGTCAAAGTTTAGGTTCAACTTTGTTGTCAATAAAAATTTGACTGAACTGTCAAAATTTCTTTTGAAGCAATAGTCGAGTGTTTTGTTTTCAAAACGCTCCTTGTAAAAATGGATAATTTGACGAAAACTAAAAAGTAAAACATAAAAAACATATAAGTAATAAGAAAAATGTGCCGAATTCAAAAATGTGAAAATTCAATATGACTTTTGCGTTTCCCCACGAAAAGCTGCCCTAACAATGTCTGAATTTGAAAAGTATATTTCTTTTCGTTTAAAAAAAATCCCAAAAGTCGTCCCTAAAAAAATATCGCCTGTACATCTATGCCGCTACACATATACAGAGTGTCCCAATAAAAACACCCTTCGTCATTTTCTCTGGAAAGGAAAGAGATGTTTTAGGTTTGTAAACACTCCGGCAGACCTGCTAAATAGCTTAATTTTTGTGCTGTAAGTGTCACTATCAACACTGACACATAGATGGCGCTCTGGCGCCCAAAACATTTTTCGATTCTAAAAATTTCCGGATAATTTTTGAGGTGTACATTTTTTTTTGGAAAACTTAATAGGTCTCGAGATATTTTAAATTCAGTGATATCGCTTAACTGAGGCATTTGATATAAAATCGAATTGCAAGTGGGTAATAATTTATTTGTAGGTAAAATAGTCATGGAAATCTTTAGTGCGTCAATACAATTCGTTTATTGTAATTTTCTTTTGTATAATTATTCACAACCAAGAATAACAATTAACAGTTAACACGTATAAAAAGTATAAAAACACAAACATATTTTTGGTCACAAGTCAAATAAAATAATTATAATTTAAATGAAGAAAACAACATTTTCATTTTCTTTGTGGGACATCACTCTATTAATATTTGCACAAAATGGAGAACCACAATAATATAGTAATTTTTTTCCCAAGGCATTTTTTTATGCGTTTGCTGTCATTCTTTTGGCCTCTTTTTATGTCCTGTACTTGGACTATATCCCCCTTATTATTAAACGTGAGCATTATTCAAGGTGTTCCATTAAAAAAAAAACCTTGATAGGCCTTCACCTCGGTTGTTTTCCAAACTTGGACAGAAAATTAAAAATATATCGCATAAATTTTAATACACAGATGCACAAAAAAAAGTCCAGACCTAGGAGACCCGCATATCGTTTCCGAAGGAATCCGATGCTCTGAACACGATCCTGTAGGCAAAATTCATGACTTTCCTATGAACTTCAGAGAAGAATTAAATTTTTGCTTGAAAATTGGCCCAAATATGGGTCAAAACTGAATTTTTCTTAAATTTTGTCGAAATATATCATTTTCGTATATTTTGAAGCGCTAATAGTAAAATTTACCTACGACGTCGATATTGCGCAGAAAATCCACTATTTGGGCGAAAATTGGCCCAAATATGGGTCAAAATCGATTTTTTCCTAAACGTTGTCCAAATATATCATTTTCGTACTATTTTGAGGTACTGAGCATATTGTTAATAGTAAAATTTACCCATAATCTCGATATTGCCCAGAAAATCCAGTAAGTATTTGGATGAAAATTGGCCCAAATATGGGTCAAAATCGATTTTTTTCCTGAATGTTGTCCAAATATATCATTTTCGTCGTATTTTGAGGCGCTAAACACATTGCTAATAGTAAAATTTATCCATGACATCGATATTTCCCAGAAAATCCACAATTTGGGTTAAAATTGGCCCAAAAATGGATCAAAACTGTTTTTTTTCTAAATTTTGTGCAAATATGTCATTTTCGTAGTATTATGAGGCACTGAACACATTGCTAATAGTAAAATTTACCCATAACCTCGATATTACCCAGAAAATCCACTACTTGCATGAAAATTGGCCCAAATATGGGTCAAAATCGATTTTTCCCGAATTTTGTCCAAATATATCATTTTCGTAGTACATATTTTGAGGCTCTAAACACATTGCTAATAGTAAAATTTACCCATGACCTCGATATTTCCCAGAAAATCCGTTATTTGGGCGAAAACTTGCTCAAATATGGATCAAAACTGTTTTTTCCCTAAATTTTGTCCAAATACAGTGTAGATAAATAAGTGAGAAAAAATTCAGGGGGTGATTTCCTGTTGAGGAATAAGGTTGGTCTTTGATATAAAAAAATCTCATTTGAACATCCCCTGTGAAGATACAACCCCTTAAGAAGCCACCCTTAAGACTTGTTTTATACGTAACTATTTTTCTTATTGAAATCTTATCATTTAAAAATTCGTTTCAGATAGCCTGATTCATTCTAAACAAAAAAGGACGCTTGTAATTTTTTTGTAAAATTAACGATTTTTCAGCAAAAAAATTATTTATAATCAATTACGTGGTATGATTGGCATAGGGTAGAAATTTTATCGAACTGTAATTTATCTAGTAGGCGGCTGCCACGTTGACATTTTGTAATGGCACCTTAATTGTAATTAATTGAATAAAATCATTAAATATGTAAAAAAACAAACAATAATAAATTATTAAAAATTAAGAGAAATTATATTAAATGTTGATTGTTTGTTTCTTCACACATTTAGTAAAATTATTGACTTAATTGTAACAATTTAGTCGCCATTACGAAATATCAACATGACAGGTAGCCTACTAGATAAATTACAGTTCGATAAAATTTCTACCCGATGCCAATCATGCCGCGTAACTGATTTTTAAATAATTTTTTTTGCTCAGAAATCGTTAATTTTACGAAAAATTTACAAGAGACCTTTTTGGTTCGGAGTGAACCATCTGAAATAAATTTTTAAATGGTAAAACATTAATAAGAAAAAAAGTTACGTATGAAGCAAGTCTTAGGGGTGCAAATCACCCCCTGATTTTTCGCATTTATTTATTTACATCCTGTATATAATTTTCGTAGTATTTTGAGGCGATGGACAGGATGCTATTAATAAAATTTACCCATGATCTCGATATATCAGAAAATCTAAAATTATTGCTTTTTTACATACTTGAAAATTAAAAAAGTATTTGAAAAAATTTAACTTTATTTGTTTGAATTTATTTGAATGGTACTTTCTTAAGCTTTAATTCGACTGATGATAGACGTCATTAAAGTCAATAGGTACATCAAAAGTTACATAAAAAAATCTTAGGAATGTACTATTCAAATAAATTTTGCCTGAAGTTTAAATTTTCTCAATTACTTTTTTAATTTCCAGGCATGTAAAAAGCACTAATTTTGGATTTTCTGAGAAATATCGAGGCCAGAGGTAAATTTGACTAATGTCATCTTCTTCAACACCTCAAAATACTACGAAAATTATATATTTGGACAAAATTTAGGAAAAAATCAGTTCTGACCCACATTTGGCCCAGTTTTCATCCAAAAATTTAACTTTTCTCCGAAATTCATCGGCGAGTCATGAACTTCTCTTGTTCAGCGCATCGAATTCCTTCTGAAATTATACGTGTCTCTTGGGTTTGGCCTTTTTTTTGCTTGCCTTTGTCATTAAACGTATTTTGATGTCTATCTCGAAACATAACTGAAAAAATCGGGGGATGACATTCGGCGGGCCACCCTGTATAGTACCACCAGGGACACATGCCGGTTCGGTTATTCTGGGAGAGTTTCGGATTTCCAACGACACCGGTACACGCCGGGATGCCGCCACTTCTCTTTTTCCGTTACATCTCCCAAACCAAACAAACCCACAGATATGAAATCACGGTCTTGATATTTTTATTACGCCATTACGTCGTCGTCGACGACGTTCCGGAATCGGGACTGTTTATTTTATTTGGAGTAACTTTTGTCAGTGTAGCCGTGTGTCACCGGCGTTAAGTAATGTTTACGTTGACGGGTCCGCTTTTAGAATCACATCTGCCTCGGCGAGAGATACAAATCGATTCGTTGTTGATTTTGTTCGTTTTTGTTTTTTTTTTGGTTTTTGTTTTGGAGTCGACTTGCCCGCTATTTTCGCGTCTGGCAAACGGTTTTTGTTCTCCCTACCCGAGATTCTTGTACATGATTACAAGCCACTTCGAGCATAGGTAACCAACATTACACATTTGGCATTATCAACTAAAAATCCGTAAACCTAAGTGGTGCGGTTGGAGAGATTACAATTAAGTGTAACCGATTTTTTTTTACCAAAATTTAATTGCCAACGCGAACTAAATAATAAAATTACTTTGTAGTAACATGTGAAATTCCCGAACTGTTCGTCATCGGGAACTGGCACTCCGTTAATGAACAGCAGCGTGTACTGTGTGTATCGACTTTTAGAAGGAAAGACAAATACACAGCTGTAACGTCTGTTTTCCAATAAGCTGCGGAATCCGAGGATTCCTACTTGGATTTCCTACGGCGTACAGAGGAGCCGCCGCCGTGGTATTTTCTAATATTACTCTATTAGATCCTCCACCTCTGGGGTTTGCTTTAATAAAAATAACTTGCCGGAAACCAGCTATCTAAATAGAACTTAAATAATAAAATAATATAGAAGGTAAAAGAATTCCTGGTGATGTAACGGGGTGTCCAAAAAAGACCCCCACCCTCCGATATCTGGC